AAAAACCCTACAGAAAATTGGAACAGATGGTCTTTACCTCAATCTGATAAAAGGCATTTATGACAAACCAACAGCCAACATCATACTAAATGGACAAAAACTGAAAGCTTTCACTCTAAAATCAGAAACAAGACGAGGATATCCACTATCACCATTCCTATTCAGTGTAGTTCTAGAAACTTTAGCCAGAGCAATTAGACAAGAGAGAGAAATAAAAGGAATAAGAATAGGAAAGGAAGAAGTGAAATTATCATTTGCAGATGACATGATATTCCACATAGAAGATGCCAAAAACTCTACCAAAAGACTTAGATTTAATAGCCAAAGTCAGTAGCATAGCTGGATTCAAATTCACCACTCAAAAATCAATAACATTCCTGTACACAAACAACAAACTCATTGAGAAAGAAATTAAGGAAACCACACCCTTCACAATAGCATCCAAAAACAAATGAAATACTTGGAAATCAATCTAACAAAAGAAGTACAAGAACTATATATTGAAAACTACAGTACTTTGTAAAAGGCAAATAAAAAGGATATTAGAAAATGGAAATATATGCCTTGCTCATGGATAGAAAGAACCCAACATAGCAAAAATGTCCATACTCTCAATATTGTTATACATACAGATGTAATGCAATCCCGATCAAAATGCCCTTCACATACCTCACAGAACTAGAGAAAACATTCCTAAACTTGATTTGGAACCAGAAGAGACCTAAAATAAATAGCAAAGGCAATTCTGGGCAACAAAGGCAAGTCAGGAGGCATCACAATCCCTGACTTGAAACTAGGCTACAAAGCTACTGACAAAAAATAGACCTGAGGATCAGTGGAACAGATTAAAAGATGCAGACACAACTACAAACGCACTAAGCCACCTTATCTTTGACAAAGGGGCCAAACATGTTCACTGGAAGAAAGACAGCGTCTTTAACAAATGGTGCTGGAAAAACTGGCTGTCTACATGCCAAAGACTAAACCTGGGTCCATGTCTATCACCATGCACCAAACTAAAGTCAAAATGGATCAGAGCTAAGTATGAAAACAAAAACACTAAAGCTTCTGAAAAAGAAAATAGGTAGAAATCTTGAAGACGTAGGGACAGGCAGAGAGTTCATGAACAAAAACCAAACTGCACAGGAAATACTACAAAGAATCAACAAATGGGATCTCACCTTACTGGAAAGCTTTTGCACAGCAAAAGAAATCACCAACAGAGTGAAAAGAGAACCTACGGAATGAGAAAAATATTTAGCCAGCTGTCCCTCAGACAGAAGACTTCTACCTACAACATATAAAGAATTGAAAAAAGGAGCTGGGGATTTAGCTCAGTGGCACAGCGCCCACCTGGCAAGTGCAAGGTCATGAGTTCGATTCCTGGTACCGGGAAAAAAAAATTGAAAAAACTCAGACCCCCCCCCCCCGCCGCCCAGATTCAAAGACCCAATCCAGAAATGGGCATCTGAAATGAATACACACTTCTCAGATGAAGAAATACAAATGGCAGATAAATATATGAGAAAAAGTTCAGGGCTGGGGATATAGCTCAGTGGCACAAGCGCCTGCCTGGCAAGCTCAAGGTCCTGAGTTCAATTCCCAGTACCAGAAAAAAGAAAAACAGTTTAACATTCTAGAGGTGCAAATTAAAACAACACAGATTCCATCTCACCTCAGAAATAATGGCTATCATTAAGAAATCAACCAATAACAAAGGCTTGAGGGGCTGTAGGGAAAAAGAAACCCTTCTCCACTGCTGGTGGGAATGTAAATGGGTACAACCACTGTGGAAATCAGTGTGGAGATTCCTCAAAAAATTAGGATTGAAGTTCCCATTCCATCCAACTATTCCCCTTCTGGGTATTTTCCCAGAAGAATTAAAAACATCATACCACAGTGATATATGTGCACCCATATTTATAGCAGCACAATTTGTAATAACTAAATCTTGGAAACAACCCAAATGCCCATCAACCAAAGAATGGATAAAAAAGATACAGTCTTTTTATACAGTGGAGTACTACTCAGCCATAAAGAAGGGTAAACTTAAGACTTTTACAGGTAAATGGATGCAACTTGAGACCATACTCATAAGTAAAATAAATCAGACTCACATGTGTAAATACTGTATTATCTCCCTGGTGTGAGGAACTGAAAAAGTAAATATGGTCTAAAATGTACAATAGCTATTATGAAATGGGAAGAAATTGTTCAAAGGAAAAAGGAAATAGGATGAGTGAAAGGTGAAAGGACAGTAGCGAAAAGGGAAAAAAATGCAAGTCAATTATACTATTAGGGTCTCTTAGTTCTTATAAAAAGGAAAGTCTGTGCTAATATTGATTGGAGAAGTTTTTGGGAAGTCATAAAGACAAATAAATTTTACTGTGCCACCCAGCAAAAAAAAAAAAAAAAAAAATTTTTTTGCCCATATCTTGTACCCTGAGCAACTACTTTAAAGATAACATGTAATATATTAAGTATTGTTATTCTCCTATTATTTTATTTTGAAATTTTGTTTTACCCTTTTTTCCATAATAGAAATATTTTTCTAAAAACATAGCAAACTCCACCAGCTCTTCCCTGCCATGTAGAAAGGGACCTCTAGCAAGCACTGGTGTCAGCCCTCTCAAACTCATTGTCGTCTTCTGTGACGACTTTGGGGTCACTGAACTCCCCCAGTCATCTGAATCAGCTTCTCTGTGCGGGATATGTCCAGCCACACTGCCCTGCTCTTCTCTTTTCCCACAGGTGAGGAGAGAGTGATTGGTTTTGCCTCCGTGGACCTCTCCCCGCTGCTCTCTGGCTTCCAGTTTATCTGTGGCTGGTACAACATTACAGACTTCAGTGGAGAGTGCCAAGGGCAAATAAAGGTCGCCATCTCCCCTCTGGAGAGTCTGATACGCTTCAAAGAAGAGAGACAAGCAAGACGTGGGATGGAGACCCAAGCATCACTGGTATGTGCTGGTCACACCTAACTAATAAGGGTTCTACGGAGCAAAACCTACGCAAAGATTCTTTGCATTTTGAGGTACTTTCTGTGAACACACGATATATGGATTGGTGTCTCATAGCTACGTCTTTACTTTTGAGGGGTGCTGAGGAGGTTCTGGAATTATATAGTAATAGCTGCAGAAGAGTGAATATCCCAAAAACCATAAATAAAACATTTTTAAGGGATAAATTTAATAATACATGAATTATATATCATTTTTAAATAAAACAAGGTTAGCTGCAGTATAGAATCTGAAACTACATCCACTGGGGTTTTTTTTTTTTACAATAAAATCATTGATCTGTCATGAAAAAACAAAAATAAAGATTGTAAAGAGAGGAATTAACAATGGTGAATAGAGACAGCTGTTTCAAAGAGTTCAACTATAAAGGAAAGAAGAATTTCCCACTTTATCCCACCTCCATTGAGGCAAAGTATTTGTTTTATTCACCTTTTTTCACATGTGCATGGACCCAAAATCTGACATAGAGTGGGTGTCAATAAATACTGAATAGGTGAATGCATAAGAAAATGACCAAGAGTTGATTGATCTCTATACACAGCAAGGTCTTTTTTCTTCAGCTCAACCCTAATAGTCATGCAATAAGAACTATCACAGTCACATTATCCTCACATGTAAGCTAAACATAAGATGATCTTCAGCCAGTTTACAAAGTAGCTGGAAGAACATAAACATAGATAAAGCAACTAAAACTCAATCTGATAGTATAGTATAAAATAAGGAGAACAGTACTACTGACTCCATACGATAATCATAAAATTTAAATGAGAAAATATAAATTGCTTAGCACAGTGTTCAACACCTAGAAAGTGAGCCAGGTGTGGTGCTGCACACCTGTAATCCCAGCCCTCAGTAGGCTGAGGCAGACAGATCACTTCAAGTTCGAGGCCAACCTGGACTACACAGTGAGTGCAAGGTCAGTCTGAACAAGTGAGTTCCAGTCTCAAAAAGCAAACAAGCAAAAAACCTACAGACACACACACACACGTATACATAGAAAGTATTCAGTATTGCTGGATATGTTGGCGCGCTCCTATAATCCCCGCACTTGGGAGGCTGATGCAAGGAGATTGCCATGCATTCAAGGCCAGCCTGGGCTACCTAGTAAGACCTTGTCTCAAAAAAAAATGAACGAATGAATGAGCTGTCAGTGAAGATACATGCCCAGATGGGAGGTAACAAGTTGTGAAAGTCAAAAAAAAAAAAAAAAAAAAATACTCAGTATTACCCTGAGTAAATTTTACAAATTTGTTTCTATAATTTGTTCCACAAGGGCTTATGGTAACCCATGTACCATTTACTGCTCCTACAGACCCCAGTGTACAGTCCCTTTTCCTTCCCTGCCTCTGATATACGTGCTGCGTTCCCCGGTGGTGTTGCAAGACACACTCAAGACCAGCTTACTTACACCTCTTCAAAGGACCTTCATTGCTCCTCTCCCGGAAGGTGAGTCATTTCTTAGTGGGAAGAAATGAGGTCAAGAGTAGAAGTCTATGACTGGCCTATCAATTCTCTTTCCTTTGTTAGAGGAAGAAACTCAGGTGAAGAACTTTGTTTGTTGATCTCTTACCCTAAGATCTGTGGAAACAAAATTTTATAAAATAGGAGCTAGAATTTTTACTGCTATGAGAAAGGCCTTAGAACCTTTAAACTTTTTTGAGAAATGTGTTATCCTTCCTCTCCGAAAACTATGTGCCAGGTTGCTTTGCAAAAGCAAAAACGCTCCCTCTTGTCAGAGGAGAGGGTCTAAAATTAAAGTCGCATGTCCTTCTCTCCTACTCAGGGAGGAGGTAAGGCGTATTCTCTCACAGCAGCCACTGCAACAGCAGTACTTAACTGAGTAGACCCCTTGCTTCAACTCATACACTCTGAGTAAAGCAGTGGTTCTGAAACATTTTTACTTTAGAACTCTTTAACACTATTAAAAATTGATGACCAAGTAAACCTGTAATCCCAGCACTTGGGAGGCTGAGGCAGGAGGATCACAAGAACTGCCAAATAAAAAATTAAATGAGCAAATAATGCAAATTTTAAATGGACAAAGAATCTGAATCAGTATTTCTTCTTTTAAGACAGAGTCCAACAAAGTTGCCTATTCTGTGCTCAAACTTGCAATCCTCCCAGAGTTCTGGAATAACAGGCATGCACCATCACACTTGGCTGCACTGTACACTTTTAAGTAGGTTAATTGTATGTGAATTACATCAATAAAGTTTTTATTTAAAAAAGTGCTACAGTCATATTCTTGAATACCATGCTTAGAAATTAGAGGTTTGTTCTATAGACAAAAAGAAAAAAAACCACAGCTAGAGAGGAATGAGGGTGATAAAACAGATTAATACACATTGAAGGCTTATAACAAGGCTCAACATCAAAATAAGGACTCCTTACACATTACTGTTGTTAGGTCTATGTTTTAGAGAAATCACTCGGACTATAATGTGAAGAATGGAAGGAGGTGGAGTGGGTGAGACTAAAGGCAAGATTATTTGGGAGACATTTGTAACCCAAACAAGAGTTGATGAAGCCAGAACTGTGGTAGAGGGGATGGGTTTGAAGTGCCATTTTAGGATAAGTTTTCACATTGGAATTTATCTTGCTCCCATTTTCCCATAACAGAAGTAATACCGTAAGAAGCCCAGGATCACGTCACGAAGAGCACGTGCAGAACATCCGCCGATTCCATGAATCTTTGCAGCAGGGAGAGGCAGTCTCAGCAAGTGATGACGGACTCACGGCGTCACCTTTGTCTTCCAGCACCTCCATTCTGACTTCACTAAGGTGTGGCCTTCTGCTCAGAAAAGACGTAGGAAGCTAGTGGGGAGCACAAGGGCAGTGGGCAAGGTGTAAAAGTGCATTTCCAGGTGTAGTAGGAGGCACTCACGCACGTCAGTATTGGCCCGGACCTGGGAGCTGATGAATCTGTCTCAGTTTAAGGCCATCCACTTTCTCCCAGGGGAGGCTGTTTCGTAAAATCATTGGTGGTTAGGCTGTACTTTATCAGGTCATTTATATATTTGGAACCCACCCTCGTGCAATTCCTCTCAACTTCAGTACCATCGATATTTTGTTGTGAAGGTCGTTGCAGTGTAAGCTGTTTAGTGTCCCTGGCCACTGTATTCTGTACGGGTAACACCTCTCCCCCAGTCATGACAACCAAAAGTGTCCAGACATTACCTAATGTCCCCTGAGGGGAAAAATCTCTGGGGGGTTTTTTGTTCGTTTGTTTGTTTGTTTGGTTTGGTTTGGTTTTTGGTTTTTTGAGGCAGGGGCTCACTATGTAGTTCAGGCTGACCTTGAACTCACTCTGTAGCCCAGGCTGGCCCTCGAACTTGCGGTTATCCTCCTGCCCCAGCCTCCCAAGTACTGGGATTGCAGGCATGCACCACCACACCTGGCCAAAATTACCAGGTTTCAAACCACTATCCTAGAACAGTGATTCTCAGAATTCATTAAATCAAAATCATATGAAGGGCCCTAATACTACACTGATTGCTAAAATTTACCCACACATTTCCTGATTCAGTAGAAGTAGCGTGAGGACTGGGAATCTGCATGTCTAACCCATTCTCATGTAATGCTGATGCCCCCTAATCCTAAAATTAGGCTTTGAGAGGCCTAGAGGGAGTCTATACCAAATGGAAATGAAACAACCCGCATTATTTCCTTGATGCAGAGTCCTAAAACTTGCTTCACATGAATCACAGCAATCCTGTGAGACCGACAGGGCAAGTATTAATAAACCTGTTTTACTGTAGAGAAAATTACAGTGTAGTGTGAGCCAGTTGATGATGGGCTGTGGTTGTACACCTAGAACCTTTGACAAGACCAGTGGGTCTATATATTCTGTACAGCTTCATCAAGTGTACATTTGCTTCCATGGCCCTGCTGAGATATTTGCCCACGTGGCATACGCCAGAATATAGACACTGCAGTGATCTGATAGACACCACTCTTAATTGATAGAGCCTCTGGTGATAAAGATGAACCTATTCTCTCCTTTTATTTGAATTTGATTCTAAGACATACACACTGTTCCTAACAAAAGGACAGAAGACTTCCAGTTTACTTCATAGGTATTTAGTGTCTGTGTTGTGCTAATTGTACCAGACACATTGAATGTACTAGAGAAAAAGAGATGTTTACGATATTATCTTCTATTCCCAGATACTTGTGCCCAGTTAGGGAAACTAAATTAAGAAATAATGCAGGGCCAGGCTTGGCAGCGCATGCCTGTAATCTCAGCACCCAGGAGGCTGTGGCAGGAGGACTGTTGCGAGTTCAAGACCAGCCTGGGCTACAAAATGAGCTCAAGGCCAGCCTGAACTGCAGAGCAAGACCCTGTCTCAAAAAGATTAAAAAAAAAAAGAAAGAAAGAAAGAAAGAAAGAAAGAAAGAAAGAAAGAAAGGGAAAGAAAGGAAGAGAAAGAAGAAATAATGAAAAAATTAAGAGGAAATCTAAGACAAGGTGGGTAGAAATGCTAAGAGTGAAAGAGTACACTGAAGGGGTAGGTGACCCAATGATCTGGAGTAATGAACTTTGAAAAGGTGAAAAATGAGCTTCAGGCTTGAATGGAAAGAGAGGATACAGGAGTTGCTTCAGCTCAGGATTCGGCGTCCACAGAAGTGTGAGGAAAGAGCGGCCCACTTGGGACAGAGCCTATCTAGTATCATGGGGAAAAGCACAAGACTTGCAGTCACAAAGTTGAATATGCTCTCCTCATCCTGGACAAATCACTTGAACTCTCTCAACCTTAAATTCTTGTAATAATTACTGATCTCAAATGGTAGGCTGAGAATTAAACAAGATGGTATATTTGAAAGCAGTCCTGTACAGCTGAAAGTTATTGTGATTTCACATTGGACAGTGGTGAGGGTATATGTAGGCAGCTCCGTTGAAAGTCTTTAAAGGCATTTATTCATGTTCACTTATCCATTCAGCATTAATTTATTTTGTGCCAAGCACAAAGAGTTATAAAGGAGTCATCATAGAGCTCATAGTAAATGAGGGGAAATAGATATGAAATAAACAAGTACTGCAGTTGAAGAGTACAGAAAGAACTATGGACCCACAAGTGGAGTCCCTGACCAGTTTTTTTCTTCCTCTTCAGACAGGGTCTCACTAAGTAGTGCAGGCAGGCCTTGAACTCACTGTGTACCCCAGGCTGGCCTCAAACATGTTCCTCTTGCCTCAGCTTCCCAAGTGCTGGAATTATAGGTGTGTGCCCCACACCCCGCTCCCTGAACCAGTTTAGATGGTCAGGGAAGGCTGGTTAGAAGAGTCACTTGCTAGAATAAGTAGGAATGGTTATGAGATAGCAAAGGATGATGTTAGTTTGGCTTTTATTCTGTCAGAGTAAGGAGAAGTGAGGACGTGAATGGTAGTCAAGAGCAGTTTCTTATAGCCAGCTGTGGTGGCGCATGCCTGTAATCCCAGCACTTGGGAGGCTGAGGCAGGAGGATCGATGCGAGTTCGAGACCAGCCTGGGCTACAAAGTGAGCTCAAGGCCAGCCTGAACTGAACAGTGAGACCCTGTCTCAAAAAGACAAAAAAAAAAAAAGAACAATTCCTTATAAAAAAGGCTGTCTTTTCGCTAGACATTAGAAGAGGAACCATATTAGTCAGGGAGGGAACAGAGTTGTTGTCAGCACAGAACTGTAGTCAGAGGGGTAAAGGATGAATGATAGGTTGGAGACAAAGAGGAGACCAAGTGAGACATTTTAAGGTTCTAGCTCAAGTGTTACATAAAAGATTCTTGTGAATTCTTCTGCTCTCCATGAATGACCGTTCTTCTCTCTTTTTTTTTTTTTTTTTTTGTCCAGGAAGAATCTGAGTGAGCTCGATGAGATCCAGCAGTACTTCAGCCAGAAGCTCACCAAGCCTTTCCTGCCTCTCAGCCCTCACACCAATCCTGCCATTTTACAGTGCCAGGAGAACCACAGGGACCAGCCTGGGCCAGGAGTCAGCAGCCGAGACCTGCAGAACCAGTGCATTCTGGAGAAATCCAGTAACCTGGTGTTGCAGGTCAGCTCTTTAATCTCAGGTATGGCTCTTTTGTGTCTGCTTCAGACAAGCCTCTTAACAAATAGAACAACAGTTTTCACATTTTTTTGTTTGGCTTTTGTTTGTGAAACAGGGTCTCGCTATGTAGTCCAGGCTGGTCTCAAACTCGCAGCAATCCTCCTACCTCAGCCTCCAAGTGCTGGGATTACAAGTGTGTGCCACCACGCCTGGCCTACCTTCCTTTTTAAAAAACGGACACATCAGCTTAGCACAGGAGCATGCAGCGGTGGAAAGAGCATTGCACTAAAAGCAGGAGATACGAGCATCTCTTTTCCCTTCTTGAGATTTGTTTCCCCAATGAAAAAAGAGAAGGGTGGATTAGATGAGTTGTTTCTAGAAGTTGTTGAACCTATGTTGTCATTTTTTCAGAAAAAATCAACTACAAACATGGTTAAATCTAATTCTCAAAACCCAGAAGTCTGTATTCTTAATAAGCACCCTGGGTGGTTCTGGGTGTTGGGGGTTCATAGTCCACCTACTGAGGCAAAGTGATTCTCACTCTGGCTGCATTTGGACTTACGGAGGAGGTTATAAAAATCTATCTGCCCTGGCCGCGCCACAGGGCCACAGGGTCCCTGAGGCTGAACCCACACATAGTATTGTTTATAACACACCCCCTCCTGTAATTCTACCTGTGGCCAAGACTGAGACCACTCCGGAGTAGCTATTTCCCAAACTTGCCTGAACGTAGGAGTTACTGGGGCACTTAGTTTGAAATGCAGATTCTCAGCTCTTATTCCATCCCATTGAGTCAGGATCCAGGGTTAAGACCTGGAAATCTCATCAGTCAAGCTTTGGGGAACATTGGGAAATCAGTGAGGTCAGCATCTTTAGCCCTCACGTGGCATCATTTTTTTTTTAATTTTAAAGAGAATAGTAAAAAAAGAACAATAGCAAAATACAAATGAAACAAAGCAAGAATATTAAAAATTATATGAGGTTTGGTTGTAAGACCCTGTCTCACAAAGAAAACCAAATGATAGCAATTATTAGTGGTTGTTCTATTACATATTGTTATCTTCAACGAATTTGCTCACATTACCAGATGTAAGAATGGAAGATTGATCAAACCATTAAAGAGAATAAGAAAATTTTTTTTTTTTTTTTTGGTTTTTCTCCGGTACCGGGAACCGAACTCACGACCTTGCGCTTGCCAGGCAGGCGCTTTTGCTGCTGAGCTAAATCCCCAGCCCAAGAAAATAATTTTTTAAAATATTAGAGACAATACAGAGTTTCACTAGACAAAATGGTAAGAATTCACCAATTCACCAATGGTTGTTGTATTGAATATTGTTGTCTTCATGTCAGTTGCTCAGATTACCAGATATAAGCATGCCAAATTGGTCAAAATATAAAAAAAAATTTAAGCATTAACTGTTCCTTTCAATAAACAACCAGACATCAGCAGTACAGTTATCCCAGCTATCCTTCTATATCCATATATATATATTTTATCTTAGTTCTTCCTTTCTTTTTCTTCTTTCCCTCATCCCAGTTGTTCCTTCCTTTAAGCAATTTCTTTCCCTTTCATATTATCTATTGTACATTTTGGGTTTTATTTACTCTTTCATGCTCTTACACAAGGGAGACAATATGATATTTACATATGTGGGTCTAATTTCTTTCACTTATGAGTATGGTCCCTAGTTGCATCTATTTACCTACAAAAGCCTCAAGTTTATCTTTTTTAATAGCTGAGTAATACTCCATTGTATAAAAATACCACATCTTTTTTATCCATTCCTCAGTTAATGGGCATTCGGGTTGTTTCCAAGCTTTAGCTATGACAGATTGTGCTGCTGTAAACATGGGTGCATTGGCATCATTTTTGCTCAACCAAAATGTATAGATTCTATACTGGGATGAGTGAATTCAATTTCTTTTTAAAGGTGGGAGTGGAGAAAAATACCATGATAGTCAACCAAAGAAAGTTATTCCTGTCTTTAAGTAGAAATATTCTATTTTCATACATCTACTAACTCCCCTTTGAGTCCTAAACATCGTCAATATATTAAATAACTAGTACATCCTATAGGTTGAGCCCTCTGTTGGGTGAAGGAGGTATGACCCCTTACCCCAAGGCATCACCTTGACCTCCAGTGACATTTTTTCCTCTCAAAGAATCATGTAAACAGCCAGCCTGTAATCTCAGCACTTGAGGTGGGGGCTACTGAGGCAAGAGGATTGCTGGGAGTTCCAGGCCAGCCTGGGCTATATGGTAAGTTCAAGACCAGCGTGAAATACATAGTGAGACCCTGTCTCAAAAAAACAGAAAAAAAATCATATAAACAACTAGGTGCAGTGGTGTACACCAATAATCCCAACACTCAGAAGGCTGAGGCAGAAAGATCACAAGTTCAAGACCAGCCTCAGCTACATAGCAAGTTTGAAGATAGCCTGGTCTACATAGCAAAACCCTGTCTCAGAAAAAAAAAAAAAA